GACACCAGTGAAGTAAGACATTTAGTAACTAGAAAAGCTACAATTTCTGGGGAAATTGTGTGAAGTGTTCTGGCCTCCACCAGTAGTCTACAACTGGAGTGGGCGGAGTAACTGGGTGGAGAGGCTTGAGTAACTGTTGTGTGGTAGGAGTGGCTGGGGTAACTGTGGAAAGGTTGGACTGGGCAGAGTAACTGTGTGGAGTGTTTGGAGTGAGTAAAGTTAGTAAACATTACACTAACCAATTGATTGATCAAATTTAAAAAGTGCTCATGGCAAGCTTAATAGAGAGAAATGCATTTCAACTTTTATTTATTTATATAGCACATTTAATTGCAACGTTGTTGCCCAAAGTGTTTCACAGTTACATTAAAACATACATTTAGCAGGTGTACAAAAGGCCCTGTCTATGACATCACTTGCTGCTCCAGCCTGGCACAGGTCAGAGTATTTTGGCGGTTGCCATTTACAAATGGTCGTATTTTAAAAACTATAAATCCTACAGCGAAGAGCTTTATATCGTGGGAATCACAAGACCCAGACCTACATTTTGATATATAGTATGTCTCTGAAATATACTATGTCTCTGAAGTATTAAAAATGAAGGCACAGTCGCAGCTTAGAAATTGCACTTCAAATTTGAGCTTTGTAGAGTGAAGTTTCAATGAATGTAAATGGACGGCGTTAGTTGCAAACAAATGATTATATTGTGAAAACTATCAGGACTATGGCTTAGCCGTGGACATTTTTAGTGGCAGCAGGGATAGCTGAACGTTTTGATATAAGATTTGTGTAGGTGGGCTTGAAAATGAGGGAGTGGTGGCAGATTAGAAATCATGTCCTGATTTTTCAGCTTTTGCCAGCTGCCACTCTAGTGTTGAACATTTTGCCATTCATTCCCATAGGACCAATTTCGCCACAAGAACGACGATATTCCGTGAACCATTCGGCGAAACGTTCCACAAAGTAATAGCACACCAATCGGGAACAATCCGCACTTTTCGGTATATTACGGTCTATGTAGTGTAAAAACTGTGGGAGGAGTTAGGGTGGTAAATTTGGCTATAATAATAATATATATGTGCAATAACATTAAGTGGTCTTGCTATGCAAGAACACTTAATAACTAGAAAAGCTACAATTTCTGGGGAAATTGTGTGAAGTGTTCTTGCCTCCACCAGTAGTCTACAACTGGAGTGGGCGGAGTAACTGTTTTCATTTATATAGCACATTTAATTGCAACGTTGTTGCACAGTTACATTAAACCATACATTTATAAAAACATTAGCAGGTGTTCAAAAGGCCCTGTCTATGACCTCACTTGCTGCTGCAGCCTGGCACAGGTCAGAGTATTTTGGCGGTTGCCATCTTCAAACTGTCGTATTTTAAAAACTATAAATCCTACAGCGAAGAGCTTTATATTGTGAGAATCACAAGACCCAGACCTACATTGTATGTCTCTGAAGTATTAAAAATGAAGGCACAGTCGCAGCTTAGAAATTGCACTTCAAATTTGAGCTTTGTAGAGTGAAGTTTCAATGAATGTAAATGGACGGCGTTAGTTGCAAACAAATGATTATATTGTGAAAACTATCAGGACTATGGCTTAGCCGTTGACATGTTTAGTGGCAGCAGGGATAGCTGAACGTTTTGATATAAGATTTGTGTAGGTGGGCCTGAAAATAAGGGAGTGGTGGCAGATTAGAAATCATGTCCTAATTTTTCAGCTTTTGCCAGCTCCCACTCTAGCTTTGCCATTCATTCCTATGGGACAAATTTCGCCACAAGAACGACAATATTCCGTGAACCATTCGGCGAAGCGTTCCACAAAGTAATAGCAATCCGATCGGGAACAATCTGCACGTTTTGGTAATTTTTTGTCTATGTAGTGTAAAAACTGTGGGAGGAGTTAGGGTGGCAAATTTGGCTATAATAAGAATAAGAATATATATGTGAGATAACATTAAGTGGTCTTGCTATGCAAGAACACTTAATAATACATATATGAGATAACATTAACCCCTTCAGGACAGAGTCAATAGTGCACGTTCTTATCAAAACAAAACGTAAACAAAAACTGGAATTTGCACTATATGTCTGTTCAACCGTAATTCACTGCTGTCACATTAAGTGCACCCACACTTATTATATATCATTTTGTTCAGGAGAAACAGGGCTTTAATTTACCATTAACTATTCATATATGGAACATTAATTTATTATGAATAAAATTTTAAATGTGAGAAAATAAGATGTTTTTAAAAAAAAAAATTTATTTGTATTTCCGTCTGACATTTTAGCTGTGAATGTCATAATACTGTTAGGTTTTACTGCACATATTTGTAATCAGCGATGTCTCACGGGTACAACAGTACCCCCCATTAATAGGTTTTATGGTGTTTTGAAAGTTACAGGGTCAAATATAGAACGTTCCATTTTCAAATTGAAATTTGCGAGATTAGTAATGTTACCTTTGAGATGGTGTGGTAGCCCAGGAATGAGAATTACCCCCATAATGGCATACCATTTGAAAAAGTAGACAACCCAAGGTATTGAAAATGGGGTATGTTTAGTCTTGTTTAGTAGCCACTTAGTCTCAAACACTGGCCAAAGTTAGCGTTCATATTTGTTTTTGTGTGAAAAAAGCAAAAAACTAATATTTGGCCAGTGTTTGTGGCTACTAAGAAAGACTGGACATACCCCACTTGCAATACCTTGGGTTGTCTACGTATATGTGACTCTCTAACTTTCCAAAACACCATAACACCTGTACATGGGGGGTACTGTTATTCTCGGGAGACTTCACTAAACACAAATATCAGTGTTTTTAAAACAGTAAAACATATTACAACAATAATATAGTCCATAAAAGTGCCGTTCGTTTGTAAATAATGCAAAAAAACTTAACTTTTACTTAAAATATCAGCATTGTAATAAATTTTACTGTTTTGAAACACTAATATTTGTGTTCAGCGAAGTCTCCCGAGTAGAACAGTACCCCCCATGTACAGGTTTTATGGTGTCTTGGAAAGTTATAGGGTTAAATCTAGTGCTAGCAAATTAAATTCCCTTTACTTTCGGCATGGGTTGTCAGGCAGGTCCCGCTAATTGTAATTAATTAAGAGACCTAATTATGTAAAAATATTACATAAATGTATATGTGTATATATATACGTATGTGAATCTATATGTGTGTGTGTGTGTGTATATATATATATATATAATTTTTTAAAATATTTTTATTTATATATAGGTATATATAGTGATATATACGTATATATTTATGTATGTAGATATATATTATTTCGTCCTATGTGTATTTTGATATAAATATATATATATATATATATATTAATATCACAATACAGTTAGAATGAAATAACACACATCTATATATTTAATTATTTTTTTAAATTATTTTTGTAATTTTATTTTTTAACGTATTTACATATTTAATTTTTTTATATTATATATAAATATATATATATAACAATAATTATATATATATATATATATATTTAATCAGTATCAGTCTACGTGTAATTTGATATTAATATATATATATATATATATATAAGAACAAAGAAATATGCAGACCGTCTCAATTATATGAATGAAACTTACTGCATTGACTGGAAAAAATATATCTATGTATAGTGCGATGTTCCAAATATAGAACCTGGCTATTAGAAATAATAAGGGCCCCTGACGAAGGTGCATCTCTCTGCACCGAAACGTATGTTGGGCGTTTTTTCTGCACTGGGCACTGGTGTTTGGAGCACCATGATCACCATTTAATTTAACTTTATTTTATATTGTTTTCTTCTTTTCTTTCCTATGCCTATCTAGCTAGCTTTACAGGGAGAGAGGCTTTATTAATGCTAATTATCAGTCTGTTTTTGACTGATTTTTTACTTCTATTTTCAGTCCTTATCTCTCTCTGTTTTTCTTAATATGTTTCTAGTGTGACCAGGATACTTCCTAGGATGCATGGATTATAGAGACTTAGCTACTGTATACTCCTATCCCTATAGCAGATCACAATAAAGCTTAATTATAAGGGGGAGTGAGGTTATCTTTTTTACTACCTCTTGATCTATACTACCCTGGGCTGGCATAGGATTGTAGGTTCACTTGTATATACTTTGTTTAATTAGGGTCTCTGACCATATTATTTCTAATAGCCAGGTTCTATATTTGGAACATCGCGCTATACATAGATATATTTTTTCCAGTCAATGCAGTAAGTTTCATTCATATAATTGAGACGGTCTGCATATTTCTTTGTTCTTGTGTTTATATTTGGGGTTAAGCCCCTCTGAGACAGCTGGAGTCTCATACTGGTACGTTTGTCTCTGCGTGACCCCTGCAGCCACTGCCCCCCTTTTGGGGAGGTTTTGAGGTGGTGGGTGCGGCGGCTATACAGGGACTTGGAACGTTGTGTTCCTTGCTCTCTCTTTTTTATATATATATATATATATATATATATATATATAATTATATATATATTAATAGTAAAATACACCTAGACAGTGTATGTGTGTGTATGTATATGTGTATATATATACTTAGATCATATATATAATATATATATATATGATCTAAGTTTATATATTTTTTTTTTTACACTTTTTAATTTTATTTTAATTTTATTTTCAGCCAGCAGGGGGACCACCTGTCATTACAGGCAGCCCCCCTGCTGGCAATGCAGGAGGCAGCCTACCCGGCCATGTGATTGTGGGGTCCTCGCAAGGACCTCACTCTCACATGGCCGGGGGGCAATGGAGGAGGAGGATCTACCGCGGGGGGGCTCCCTGGGAGTCCCCCCCACCGCGATCGCAAGACCGGAGGGTGTACAATTACGCCCGGCGGCGTTTAGAGCCGCCTAAAATAGGGTGTAATTGTACGCCCTCCGGTCTTAAGGGGTTAAGCAGACTGTGATTGTCTATTGTTGTGACTTAGATGATGATCAGATCACATTTTATGACTAATTTGTGCAGAAATCCATATCATTCCAAAGGGTTCACATACTTTTTCTTGCAACTGTTATTAGACACAGTGTGTCTAATTACAGTTGCAAGAAAAAGTATGTGAACCCTTTGGAATGATATGGATTTCTGCACAAATTAGTCACAAAAAAAAAAAGAGGAGAATTGTCAGCTCGTTTGGACGGGGTCCTCTCACCCAATGTCCCCTATTGTCATACGTTTTCTAAAAATTAGATGTCTTTCTTGCTTTCTATTGTACTGCGCCGTGGAATAGGTTGGTGCTATACAAATAATTATAATTTTAAGAGAACCCTGCCCATGTATAGAAAGCATGTTTGCTTTTTGTTTTTTAATTTCTACTTCCACTAGATGGCAGCAAATTAAATGAGCTGTTCCTTTAGTGAAACTGTCATTCAAGAGTCATGAGGAGCATATATAATGAATAGGGACATTTGTTTAAAGGCAAGATTGTAATCTATATTTTCTAAAATAGCCAATCGTGGTATCTTGCAAAGTTAAGGCCAGAAGAGATGAGTGAAACATTTAGCTGAAATGAATCCTTGGCTATACTAGCTTTTACATTTTGAGATTTAGTTCTCAAATCTTCCATACTTGCTGTTTAGTAAAAAGACAACTAATAGATAACACAATCCAAGCTTTAAAAAAAATTAAAAATAAATCATATACATCTAAGCAGGAGTGTTTGTCGGGGGGCTGACCTGGACTAGAGTCCCGAGTAAGTCCCCAAAAAGCAATGGGTCTATATTTTGCCATTTATTACTGTTAGCCCACAGTAACCTGTACTGTGCCTGACTGGATGGAAAAGAAATGGGCGGAGGCAGAGTGTACTTCTACCAGTAGCAGACCAGTGGGTATCGCTCCCATGAGCCATGGCTGGTTAGTGCATTGCCGTGAGAGAATATTACACTACAACTGGCGGAGGTGCAGAGCACATACATTGGACACCAGGGAAAGGTATCCAGAGACTGTGAGCCTGGGGGGAATTATAATGTGACTGCCACCTATCTGCCTTCTCCAGATTGACATATATCTGCCCTCTCCAGACTGCTACCTAACTAACCTAGTTCTTCTCCAGCGTGCCATCTATCTACCCTCTCTAGATTGCAATCTAATGACCATAATCCCTCTCCAGATTGCTACCTAACTACCCTAGTCTTCACCAGATTGACATCCATTTTCCCTAATCCCTCTCTGGACTGACACCTAATTTCCTTAATCCCTCTACAGACTTCATATTAACTGCCCTAATCCCTCTACAGACTTCATATTAACTGCCCTAATCCCTCTACAGACTTCATACTAACTGCCCTAATCCCTCTCCAGACTTCATATTAACTGCCCTAATCCCTCTACAGACTTCATATTAACTGCCCTAATCCCTCTCCAGACTGTTGTTTAAACTGTAAATGTGTGAATATGTATAACAGTTTGTGTGTATCTGTGTAATATTGTGTATCTAAGAAACTACCACAACAAGAGGACATAGTCTTAAATTAGAGGGGCAAAGGTTTAAAAATAATATCAGGAAGTATTACTTTACTGAGAGGGTAGTGGATTCATGGAATAGCCTTCCAGCTGAAGTGGTAGAGGTTAACACAGTAAAGGAGTTTAAGCATGCGTGGGATAGGCATAGGGCTATTCTAATTATAAGATAAGGCCAGGGACTAATGAAAGTATTTAGAAAATTGGGCAGACTAGATGTGCCGAATGGTTCTTATCTGTCGTCACATTCTATGTTTCTATGTTTCTAACAGTTTGTGTGTATCTGTGAGTATGTAACAGTTCGATTGTATCTGTGTGTTTATGTAATAGTGCTTCTATATGTGTAACAATGCATGTGAATCTGAAAGTGTTACTGTTTTTGTGTTTCTGAGTGTATGAGTGTGTATATATGTAACTGTGTGTATTTGTGAGAGTATGATTGTGTACTTGTGTAACAGTGTGTGTGCATGTCTAACCCCTATACCACAATTAAGCATTCCAAAAGTGCTTGCAAAAATTATATGGGCTAGACTAGAAAATTAAAAGTTCGATCTTCTTTACAGCCTACTGGTTACATGCCCGACCAGTAACTAAATAAGATATGCCAGGGTCTATTTGACCAATATTTATATAATACCTTATTCAGCAAGCCTTGTCTGTATGTCTTTTTCCCAAAAATGTTTCATTATTTCGAGACCAAATCTGAGGTTAATGAAGGGAAATTATACATATTTACTTTTGACTAAAGCTATGACTAAAGAGTATGTTACCATGCGTCCAAGAGCTAAACATTGTATAGCTGGGGATAAATGGAGTCTGCATGCTTTGCTCTGAATGGAAATGGCACTATTTTTGCATATTTTTCTGCACATTTTGCAGTTCCTAATGTCTCAATCTATACTTTTGTCATTCAACCATTCAAGTCCCATAGTAACAAAGAATTTCACTTTTCAGACTATCAAATGATATTCGACAATCTTGTTAACACAAACTAACCACATTGTCGTAAGCCTTCTCCTCTAACCTCTGGCATGTAGGATTTCTGCTAATAAAGATTAGTCCTCACATACTCCATCCACCTAACACTTATCAAAGTTGAACTCACAGGAACAAGATGTGAGCTAGTGCTGAAAGAACGCAGAGGGACAAATCATGAATCAACAGAACATTTCCTGTTGTTGATTTGTCTAACAGGAGACAAAGTCCAAAAGAGACATCTCTGATGGTTCTAACTAACTGACAGTAACCATATGGCCTTGTCTAAAAATAATAATGAGATGGGGTATCGGAATAATGATAATTATCCTAAGTGAGTCCACATCAATCAGTGATTCCACGTAATCGTTAACAGACGCGATCAACTACTTATAAAGACATTAGTCAAACATATAAGGTGGATGTGTCTGGCTTCTGATGAAAACCCTTGGGCCATAGTTTGAATCTTTTGGGGAGATGTAATAATAGGTGACTAATTTGGGAGTTTTGAACCTTGCAAAAAAAGCATTTGAGACCAAAATAAAAGAACCATTCTCTTGTCTCCTATCACTTGGACATCAATATCTTGTGAAGAGGACTCACATGTGGATATATATAAACCAGATGATTTGGATGTATCATTAAACGTCATTATGTTCTATAATAATTGTATCTTGGTTAAACAGATGATAAACCAATTGTTTGATGACTTATGACTCACTGCTGTTAGTAGCCTAGAAATGCATCCTAAACCAATGATCATGTTTCTCGTTTTCCCATCTCTCACGCTGACCATTGGAAAGGACCTTGGTTTGTTTGGTAACACACACTTAATAAATATCACACGTGATTGTCTGTTTTTTTGCTTAGTGCTGTCCAAACTGTTTATGGGATATTCTGTCATAGAGCAGGAAAAAGTGATGTACTCAGTATGGAGTTTTACAGTAAGAGAAACTGCTGCGTAAATACAAAGAGCAGAGTTTTATTCACTGAATAGTAAGATCATATGACAATCAACTTTACTGTTAAAGGAGCACTATAGTATCTATATTCCTGACATCATATTGCAGGAATCGTTGGTTAGGTCCTGGGCCCCCCTCACTATGGAGATTAAAGGTGATTTTATTCTCCTTTTTTCCCACACGGTGCTGACTTCACTATGGCTGGCCCAGCCTGGCTCCAACTCCATGGCTGTCTTGATGATCTCAGCCAAGTTAATGCTTTCTTATAGGAAACAAAAAAAGGGCACAGGAGGGGACGGGGGTCTAACGAAGGGCACAGGAGGGTGGAGAACAAAAGAAGGGAACAGGAGACCGGGGGGGAGGGAGGGGGTGAGACTAAGGAAATGAACAGAAAGAGAGGGGGATCAAAAGAATGGCACATGAGGGTAGGTGGGGACAAAAGAAGGGCATAGGAGGGGAGGGGAACAAAATAAGGGAACAGAAGGGGAGGGGGTAGATGAAGGGCATAGGAGGAGAGGGGGAGCAAAAGAAGGGGCATTAAGAGTCACATAGAGGGACTGGGGGAAAAACACAGCAGGGCTGAGGGTGGAACAAAGAGGCACACAGAGTGGCGGGGGGGACAAAGAGACCCACAGAAGGGCTTGGGGCAAGAAACACACAGAGGGGAAAAAGAGACACACAAAGGGTTGAGAAAGAAACAGATGCACAAAGAGGCTGGGGAAAGAAAGAGGCCTGCCAGCCAGCCACATCAGTAAGCCAGCAACCACAGCCTGCGACAGTAAATAAGGTGAGAAGAGCCAACTTGGGCTGGGTATGTTATAATACTATATTGTGAATAGAGATACAGTATAGGGATCATACATGTACTGCACAGGCAAAGCATGCAGAATCGTGTCGAAACCACTGATCCCGCGTCACCAGAAGTGCAACTAAAAGGACGTGTTCAAAAAAATAGAACACAGTATGACCACCGATGTGTCTTCAAATGATGCATGTCTGAAAAGTGTGTCACCAGCATGAAAAGTTTGGAAACCTCTGGCCTAGAGAATGCTCACCTACATACAGTTCAAGATGCCTATCTCCCCTTCAACTCATTTACATAGATCTAAGATGCCCACATTCCTTCAATTTTATTATTTTCACAAAGAATGTGACCTTCTGCTATCATCCTTACTTACATATGTGATGTACCCATCTCCTATCAAGCTCATTTGCATAGAATACAAGGTGCCCATGTTTTCTTCAGTCCATCTACATACGACTCTGATTTAGTAAACAACCAATAGAACATGACATCTGATGTGTATTTGGGCCAGTTGTGGCTACCTTGGGTAAATGTTATCTTCTGCACATACATGAACCAAGAATTCTAAACCTGTATAAAGTGTATTACACGTCTTTGTCCTGGTCCGTCCTACGGCACTGAAAGAGTTAAGTCCACATTCATTTCTTATACACAGACTCAGACCATATATTGAGACTGTTATAATATTGGTTTCCTGAAGAACTAGTCTGCGATCTACAGCGAGGTGTGTGAACTGTCCCATCTGGAAACATTATCTGATGCATTTTATTATAACCAGTTTCCCAGAACTACTGCTGGCCGGCTGCCCGGGCTACCACTGGCGTCTTTTAAAAAAGTATTCCCCCATTGACTGAACGTTATTTTAAATAATTTCATCTCA